GGAGAGTGGAAATTCTCTCCCAGTGGCATCAGGTTGGTACAACGGTCAGCCGTACGGAGGGGCATTACCATCAGGACAGTTATGCCAGGCTGCCTCCTCAACTCTCACATTCAGACAGATTCGCTCTACACGACTCCCACAAACATCCACGGCACAGTACTCAGTGTTCTCGGGGATCTGCTCACGACTGTGCACCCCTACACCATCCGTCTTCTCTGCTGTGGAAATCCACTTGCCTGTACCCCCACAGAGCATCCGACCAAACCAGGCCATCCCCGGGCCCGAGGAAGTCAGTCTTTGCAATCCTGGACCTCTTCCCGCCTGCAGTCACCACCTGACAGCACAGGTTATACTTCTAAATCATTAGTAATGTTTTGAAGAAGACAATTCTAAATAGCAGATAAATCCCAATGAACCTTTCAAAGTATTGGGCTTAATGGTATGTTTGGTACATTTGGTACTAAATCATTCTCTAGTATTATGTAACAGAAAGGGAAATTCAGAGCAACCTGTCAGAGGCTTTGCCATGGAACTTGGTCACAGCTATTGAGGGTACTTAAGGTAGTGAGGTACCACTGCAGTGTGCACAGTAGAAACAATAAAGCTATCCAGATGGTGCAAATGTCCAATGTCCTTAGTTTCTGCATGTTGGTAATGGAGGTGGTCATATATATGCAAATATACGTATATGTAAATTTGCATATGGGAAAGAAGACCGGCTCTGAGAGGAGGAAAAAAAACAAACGTACAGGATTTCATCCCAATCTGCCCCTGTACAGGGGCACATAATTGGGGTGTCTGCAGGAGACCTCAGGCTAACTGACCAATCCCCCAGCACACACAATCATTTCTTTTCCATTTGCCTGCCCCTAAGTAAATAAATAAAACAAAATAAAAATGACATCCACAAGCCCTCTAAGTGTGTGAGATCCTGGTGTCATCATATAGAACACAGACAAAAAAATAAGATGGATTTTGGCCATGCATTGTGCCTGTGCCTCTCAAGGTCTAGGGACTTGTTCCTCCTCTTCGCAGTCCCTCCTCTTCCCAGCAAGGCCCAATGCTGCCCAGTGAGCAATGTTCTTTTCTACATCTTGGCACTGGGGGCTGGTTTATTGGAGGATAAAAGTGGAATTCTCTGCTGTCTGCAGGGCTTTCCCCAGGGAACAGAGCATGAAACCCAAACTTATATAAAATCATATCCTGTTTGCAAACACCATACTCCCTCTTCTTCTCACTGATCGGCTCCCATAAACCCCAGCAGAGCTTGAGAGTCCATTCCTCATCTAAACAAATGCCATGAGCCCCTTTATACTTTTACAACCATGTCAAAAAATAATATTGCCTGCCAATAGTGATGTGATTGGAGTTGCCTCCTCTGAGCCATAAAAGAGGGGCAGAGTCTGTTATCAATTTCTCTAAGTGTACCCGGGGAATTATGGGTCGATTCAGTTCCAAGTTATAAACGACATCTCAAAAGCCACAGAAGCGTTTGAAGCCGGGAGCTGATGACGACATTATCATAAAAGCCTGCTCGTCCTTGCGTTTGTGGTTTTTTTTTTTTTTCCCTATCAAGCGAAGAGGGGTAAAATAAGGCTGAGAAATGACTTCAAGATTTCTTCGCATAGCCATAGGTCAGATGGCCAGGAAAATGATCACTACTTTTAGTGATGTATCCTGAGGAGAGAAAACTAGCATGGTCTCGCTCGGGCTATTGTTCCCAGGGTCTCCTGATAATCTGTTTCACTCCATGATGGCCAAGGCTCAGATTTGGCAACGCCATCTTTCAAATGGTGGGTTTTCTTGCAGTGGCATTGCTTCATAATTAGAAATGAGTCATGCCCTGGTAACAAAGAAAATGAGACTCGAGCACAAAAAAGATTGGAAAGCAGACATTGTCGCTCAAAACCCGGTTCTGGAGAGCATATCCTAATGGATCCTAAATGGTGCTTGCCCGCGAGCTGCCTGACCGAGAATCCAATTACTGCGAGCAATTCTAGGGGAGAAGTCTAACAAGAAGCAGAGGTTTTCTGATTTCATAATGTCCCAGGTCATCTCCTCAAAAACCAATTAATCCATCGTCATTCAGTAGCTTCACACTAAACCCAGAGAGAATCAAGCTCTAGATTCAAAGCAATGACAGTTCACATTCAGGCCAGGAAATCACCGAGTATTTCTGAACTGAAAGCAATGGGTCTCTCTTAGATAATTTGAACCAGAGGAGTGTTTTTAAGACCAAAGCGATTACCAAACGATTCCAATGGTGCATCCTTAACTCCTAACTGGGCTACTCCAGGTTCATATTGGCTGTCTCTTATATACGCTTTATCTGTGGTTGTTCTGGAGGTGACAATATAGGCCGGTTCAAATCCAAAGGATCCAGAGCTCTTCCTAGGGCTGTATCAAAACTCAAGACCCAAGGAAGCAAGACGGCTCAGGTATAGTCAAGAATATGATTTGGTTCTTTAAAATAACAGTAATAATTAATAAAAATAATTATAGACCCAAGATGGCTCAGTGGGTAAAAGCGCTTCTGACCTAAATTTAATCCCCAGAATTCATGGTGAAAGGAGAGAGTTAAATCCCCAGAGTTGCTGCTGACTTCCACAGTCTTGTCTTGGGTTCTCCCCAACCCATATATATAACAACTGTTATATATACAACAGACGAAATTAAAATGTAACTACACAGACACACGAAACTATTGAACCATATAACTTTGCCACAGCATTATCAAGTGGCTCTTGGTATACAGTGCATACATGTATGTACACACACACACACACGATTCAACAAGTCCTATCCAGACGACAGAATAAAATTTGCTAATCACAGTGTCCCTCTCAAGTCCTTCCCAACCACATCCAGGAGCAGTGAGGCCACCTGACCTACGTCTCCTCCTGTCTCTGCCCACCCTGTCGTTGTCCCCCAGCACTGCCGCCATTTTGATCAGGGTTGTGTCTGAGATAAGGATAAGACTGTGTTCTTTGGCCCTGCTGTGCTTCACGCCGGGCACACAGAGTCAGCAGGAGCAGTCAATACTCTTTCTTCAGGTACTTTACAGAGGTTACTGAAGTCATTCTCGCAGAAGATTAAGTTAACTTGGCGTGAGTTTAGTGAGGGTTTGTAGGGGCACTCTGAAGGGTGGACCGCATGAACTCAGGTTATCTTTTGGAGGGGAGTCTCCCGGAGGCATCGGTAGCTCAGCTGTGTGTCAGGAAATAATGTGTATAGATACAGGAACAGATTTCCACCGTCCCTTTAGTTAGCTGTGATATCCTTCCTACCACAGTTCCCAGAAAATAGCCTCGTGTCGTTCTTTGTCCCACTTGTAAGTAAGCACTCTTTCTCCCAGAACGGTCACTGGTGATATTAGAACATGCTGGCGAAGGCAATGAAAGCCATTTCAAAAGTCATTTATCCTCTGCCTTTTTAGAAATGTCCAGCAAGCTCCCAGCACTAGCCAGCTCTAGAGTGGGATGGTGACTGTTCTGTGTCAAGGTTCAAACAACCACAGTCAGTGGTGAGCGGCTACGAAGGAGGCCACCCCAGGCACCATAAGGCTGGAGGGATGAGGACTAGCCAGCGGCCATCTGCAGATGTTGAAGCCCGTGTAAGAACTGGAAAGGCTGCTTCACAGCGTCTACTTGTGAGTGTGCCCATTGGTCCTTCTAGCCCTTCACCACTGGCTGTGGGATTTGAAACAATTGTGATAAACTGTCCAGTCCAAGTAGATATTGATTAGTGTTGGTGTTTTATTTCCAGAGAGGCAAGATTAGGGAACAGGAAGAGATTCCTAGATTAGGCAACATTAAAATGATGAGATGAACAGAAGTCTATGGAAATTTTCTGTATAAGGCTTAGCAAAGAATTATCAAAAACATGATTTTTGTTCTCTCTGTTCAAATTCTATAAATTGTGTTGGGACCATTTGGAGTCCTGGCCCTCAGCTACTCTTCCCTGCTAGAGATCTTTAGTTTCCTTCTGATTTGAGTTACTGAAAGCTGTGTCAAGGTTGTTTACCGGCTCTGCTTCACGAGCACGTGTTGCCTTGCCTTGAGGGTCAGAGGATGAGGTTTTCACCTGTTGGCCCACCTGACTGTGTTCGGTATCTAAGCCTCCATGGTGCTATTCAATAAAGAGCTTCTTACCAGTGCCTAGAGGTCTGTGTCTCTATCTCTGTCTGTGTGTCTTTGTGTGTTTCAACCTCCAGCCCCTTGCACGAAGCTTGGAAGATCATGAACTATATGGTAGCGCATAGAGCACAGACAGGCGTTGTGTGCTGCAAAATTGTGCTTGATTTAAATGCCTGAGTCCCTGGGAAGCTGACCTAGAGGTAAGTTGTACCAACATGACTGGACACTTTCTGAGAGGTAGACTACCCCACATGACTGGTCACTTTCTGTTAGAGAATGAAGGTTTGTTACTGGTAAGGATTAACTCTAAATAGATTGCAGGCTATAGGGTTTGTTCTCATCCACAAAAATGGAGACATTTCTCTTCATATGTTGTTGAATCTGAACAAATCTTTCCTTGAAATGTGGTATAAATATCCTGGGTCAAAAGTCTTTGCTAATTATTGAAGAAGAAGAAAAAAAATCAACCTCAAGGGGCTCACAACGTGCCCCACAGTGCAAAGCGCTTTGCATAGTCCGTGGCATTTTAATGCATGCACACAGCTGGTGGAACTAGAGAAAGGGGAGTTGTGAGCACAGTCACTTAGAAATCGTTTCTGGGAAAGTTCTCCTGCCACAGGAAAGTCTAACAAAGCCATCTCGAGGAGTGCATGTCTTATCACACAGCGCGGACGGATAGGCCCTTGCCTTCGGTGTAAGTCATCATCTCGAAACCCATAAATCTGTTTGGAACAGGAAGCTCCAGATTTTGCAACAAGCTGAGCAGGTCACACTCAGCCCTTTCTGCAAGCCAACCCTTGGAAATCAAGGAAGAGTTTCTGTAAGCCTGTGCAACTTAAAAGCAGTAAACAAATTTCTACTTACCCCAAGTCCACCACAAGGCAACGAGGAAAAGAACTTTCGGGACTTGTCACCTGCACAGTGAGAGACAGGAAACATAAATGCTATGAACGGACAGTTCTCACTCCTCGGGTGTTTAGAAACATATTGTACGCCGTATGTGTTCTTTATTTCACTTATTAGAAAATAAACGGAAATTTAGACCAATCGGAGTTAATCTTCAGAACACACTGCTTCTTTATACAGGTACACAACTACAAACTCAAAGCCAATGAAAAGAGGAAAATAAATCACACACACACACGGAGCAAGAGAGAGCGAGAGAGAGAGAGCGAGAGAGAGAGAGAGGATTGGTTAACTCACATGAACAAGAACATGTAAATGAAATTTGGTTTAAAAATTGGTTTGTTTGCGGTACAAAACTTCAGCTCATGACTCCCGTGGGGCCTTTGCAGTCGAGATACTGGCTGAGCATAAGCTGAAGCTTTTCCCTACTTCTTGGCCTGCAGCAGTGTCCCCTTGCCTCCCCTACTCCCTCACCCAAACTTCCAAGATGTCCCTGACCTCCGTTCCCTGAAGCCCCTCTCTTGCCGGAACCCTCCTTGGGAGATGCTGTGTGTGTTCAGGGTTGAAGCAGAAGCAGAGATGGATTGTGGGTTGTACACACAGTCTGCCCACCCCACCTCCCCTTGAGGGCATTTGGAAATACACTCTGCCTTCCTCAGAAAGATAGCAACTTTGGTTTTGTTTGTTTGTTTTTGAGATTGAATCTCTTTCTGTCTTGCTGGTTGGTACAACTCTCTCAGTGGCCCAGGCTGCCCCTGAACTCACAACAATCCTCTTGCCCCAGTCTCTAAAGCACTAAAGCACCACAACAAGCTCAAAAGAATTTTAAAATACAGCAATAACTGTTATTTAAAAACTGTGACTCATGGAAGGCGACCCTGTGATCTACTGAGCTTCTTTTCCAGTAGGGTGGCTCACAGTGCTGTTTAAAAAAGTTCAAATGCAATATATTTTCTCAAGCGTCACTGGCTTTTTATTAGTTATTTAATTATTTTATTTTTGTGTGTTTGGCCAGGTTATGTGTATGGGCACCACGTGTGTGCTTGGGACTCCCTAAAACTGGAGCTACAGGTAGTCATGAGACATCCTGTGGGTGCAGGGAATCCAAACTGGGTTCTTTGCAAGAGTAGTCAGTGCTCTAACCACCGAGCTACCCCTCCAGAACCAGGAACTTAGTCCTAGAAATGTGTATGTATATTTACATATTCTGAGTATCTCAGTCTACCTAAGGAATAGGTAAGATCAAGTACAGCACAGGCTTCTCCATTGTTCGCAAATATTTGAAAATGCAATATAATAGAATGGTATCATTTGGGGGAGAGTCTATTGATATAAACAAAGTCAAATTTAACATATGTCCTGAAATATTAATTATGATTGTCTCCTGAAATGAAGGTAAAGCACTCAGCATCATTGGTGGAGCCCGGTACAATCTTCCACTTCACCTATGCTCTGCTGCCAATCAGTGAAATGCCAATTAAAATTGAAAAGAGGTTGTGGTGAAATACACACGAGTGGAGTGTAAGTCTACAGAGATGGACTGTCACCGAAGAGATCTTATTTTGAAAGAAATACATTTTATGAGTTGTGTTTTTTAGTACACTAACCTACAAGAAAATTATAAAGAACACTCAGTGTGTAAATGAATATGTCTAATTAGGTAGAGACATTATTTCTTAAAAAACAAACAAGAGGTGTAGCTCAGTGAGCTTAATCATACAGCACTTGTGTAGAAGGCACAAGGCCTCGGAAAACTGGCACCAGTAAACGACACTTAAAAAGCAAACAAAACAGAGCCAGGTGGTGGCGGCGCACGCCTTTAATCCCAGCACTCGGGATGCAGAGGCAGGAGGATCTCTGGGAGTTTGAGGCCAGCCTGGTCTACAGGAGCTAGTTCCAGGACAGGCCCCAAAGCTAAAGAGAAACTCTGGCTCAAAAAACAAAAACAAGATAGAAAATTTAGGGGCAAGAGAGATGGCTTAGTTGGGCTGCAAAACAGGGTAACCTGTGTTCAGGACTCAAGAGAAAACAAGAGTCTTGTAACTTGTTCTCTGATCACAGGGCCCTTGCAAAAGTCACTGATACATACAAACAAGTGAGCACACACACATAAATCAACAAACACTTCTGCATAACTCCGCAGGATAAACTTGTTTAATATTGTTATTATTAACAAGGGTACTCATATCTCAAATGTGAATTAAACACATTTTTAATATCTTAAAATATTATTTATGAGTGAGCAACAGAGAGTAAAGGAACTGTTTAGTGCAATGAAGTATTTTAAAGAAGTGATCAAAGAATTCATTAAACTCTAAGGGAATAAGGGAAACAAGTTTATTTAATGAAGTTTAAACTTTAGTTATGTGATAATAAAAGTGAATTAAGTAATTGATAATTTTAATTCAGCTGTGTGAAAAACATTTACTTCATTTTCTGAAACTGCTGTTGGCAACCTGTATTAACTGATCAGTGGCCTGAAATCTGATGAACCGGAGGGAACTGAAAATGGCGATAAAATGGCAGAGGCATTGATGCTACAGAAAATCTCCTGCTAGAAACCAGGGAGGACAATATTTTCAAAATATCATCATACAAGGCCAGAGTATCTACAGAGATAAATGGGCAGTCACAATAAAACATAATTACTTTGTAATATATAGATGTTTTTCAAGATACAAAAACTGGTTGGTCTGGTAGTACTGAATTTTACTTAAATCTTCCTTCTAATTAAAATCGTAGTTATCTGGAGTCTAGTATAAATCTGGAGTTAGAAGTGACACCTCCCATCTTGTTGGGAGGAATAGGGGAAGTCTAGCAGTTGCACGGGGCTGAACAGGATGGATACATTAGACAAAGCATCCTGAGTTTCTACACATAGAACAGCATCATTCCTGTCTATTGGAAACTAAGGACTCACAAAGCACAGTAATCCAAATTCCACAAAGAATTTAGTACAAGCTTTTAAGAGAACCTAGCCATCTACCGAGAGCAGGAGCAGATGGGGACCAACTGCACTGATCCTTCTGCACACTGGCTCCGGGAGTTCTAGGTGTCACCAAAATGGCCTAGAGCGGCTGCCCGAAAGGCTTCAGAGAATGTAGCCCCTCTGCACTGCCTGCACTGGGGTAGCCCGTACTGAAAGTGTTGCCTTGATCAATGTAGTTATCTGTAATTGATAAATACAGTGTATTCCTAAAGTATAATGTTGTCCAAGTTCAAAATTTACTTCATTAACAAATGTCTTTGTTCTTAAAACATGGAATGATGGTTGCCAGAATGAAATGGTGGTTGCTAGGGAAGACTGCACACATCAGTCCATGCTCACTAATGCTTACACACACCTGAGTGAAGCATTTGTATGTTCAAAGTGTGATTTCACCCAAAAGACAGGGACCTGGGTATGGTGGCCAGCTCTTGAGATGCTGAGGAGGGAGAACCAAAAGCTCAAAGCCAACCTGGGCCATGCTCATAGACCCAATAAAAAGAACCAGAAAAATGATCTAAACTATAGATGTTTAAATTGATTTATCTGTATTCATGTGTGTCATACATGAATTTAATTATATGAAATAAATTGCTTACCAGAACCAATTTTGAGCAACATTTTTTTCTAAAAACTGAGGAATGTCTTTGTTCTCATTCTGTTTAGTTCTCCCGAGATGCAAGGCCTGTGCTGGTCCACACATGGGCAGGGCACACTAGTGAAGGGTTCCCTCATTAGAGGGGCTTGCCACTCATGTAAGAAGTTCCAGGACGTGTGCAGAGCCACTAACCTCGCTTCACTGCTTTCCATGATGCTTCCCTATGAGCACCATAGACTTGCTCTGAACTACATAAGGCCAGTTAACATAAATTACTTTGAAATAGTGTTGAGTTATGTAAGAGAGTTTGATAAAGTAAGGCTGATTCAATAGATTTCTTCAAAGGAAAGAGGCAAGTTTTCAAGTGTTTCTTTTAAGTTAAAATTGTAAAATACAATTATTTAACATATGTTTCCAAGTTAGGTATTGTTATTCAATTATAAGGGGCTATAAATAAAACACAATTTTTTACTACTGTTTTGCACTAATATTTTCCAAAAATACTGCTGCAAGTATCCATACTAAGTGTCGTTGCTTAAATTTTATTTTAAAATCTGATATGGTTTTAGGGGAAAAAATCATCTGTTCATGAAAACAAATTACAACCATTAATTTTCTACTTGCAGCATTTACTAGAATATTTAGTTTTCAGAAGAACAGCAAGTATTTAACGGACTGTATTAAGACCTCCAGGTTTTATTTAAACAAGGCACTCTGCTATCTCCCTGTGTGGAACTCAGAAATAAGAACTGAAAGACAGAAAATAAGAAGAGTAAAAGAAATCTTTATAAAGAATGTGAAAAGGTCTTATGAGCTTTCCATTTAAAAAGATGAGCAAACACATTTGGCAAACTCCAATATTTCTACATGCGAAAGCATTACCATATAACTGCTACTCAAATAAAAGTTAATTTAAAAATAAGCCCCCACGCTCGGCCGTGTCATTTTCTCATGCAGGATTCTCTTGATCTGCACTGGCTTTTCTATCTTACACAACTCATTCCAGGCAGCAACTGCTGGAAAAATTGATTTTTATTTTGTCACACTGCTTGCCAAGTATTTTGAGCTGACACCAGCGTTGACTAATGGCCGTGGTGGAATGTGCTGTTCTCAGTAGAGGGGAGGCCCGTACAGACCTAACAGTGTCCGGGAGTCCAGCTTCTGCCCGTCCAGGGGGCTGGTGCCGTACAGCAATGAGTGATGTTCAGAGTGAACTAGCTGTATTTCCTCCAGGCTGGCTTTTCGACCTTGAATTCGCTGAAAGAAAACAACAGCAATTTACAGTCTTCCACTGGCAACACTCGGGAAAGAATGAGACCTCCAGTCACATTTAAGATGATTAATAATGGACTCAGATTCATCATGCAAGCATGAAACAATCTGCTTGGTAAAGTAACATACCCAAAACTGGAAAATGAGCAGATGCAAGACTCAGATCATAGGCATCTAATGACATTAAACTTATTCTTTTCTGGCATAAAAATAAACTTATAAATAACAAAGAAATTAGAAATTGACTCCTGTGTATAAAGTGTCTGCTCAAGATCAAACAGGGGTCACGGTTTATATAATGAGCAAACTTATTGCTCTCTTGTCTTTCACTGACCTGAAGAAGATGCTGAAGGAAGGATACGATTAACATCACTAAATCTGACTGCATTGGGTTTTCACTATGACAAACATGGTGATTACTTCGTGTGTGCGCCCCTCATGGTAACCGTACACTAGATCAACATTTCTCAAAGTGTATCCACAGGATACATACAGCTCAGAGTCTGGCTATCAAAGGTATCTACTGAGTCAGTGTAGAAATTTGCAGCCAATATTTAGAAACTTACAAGACAATCTGACTGTAGTTTTTTGTGTGTTTTAAAACTAACAATTTTTTTTTCAATTCCTCAGTCTAGATTCTGCTCTTAAAATGACTCATTTAATGTATTTTATAAAAGTCTTAGTCGGTGACAGATGCACAGTTAAATACAAACGCTACTGATAAATTGAGACAATCTAGACTCAGGCTCTGGAGAGAATTTCACTCATTCTAACAAAGAATTGACCTTTGTAATTGTCAAAACAATGCATTAAATTAAATCTCAATTAGCCGACGTGTGGTCTTCTGATGGAGGAAGGTCATTGGCTAATAAAGGCACTGCCCTGGCCCATTTTATTGGTTAGAGGATAGGTGGGAGGAGTAAACAGAACAAAATGCTGGGAGGAAGAGGAAGTGAGCTCAGAGACTCCACAGCGCTTTCGGGAGCAGACGCCTCAGAGAGAGATGCCATGCCCCGCTCCCGGGATGAAGCTCCGACCCAGGATGGACTAGGCTAGAATCTCCCTGGTAAGCGCACCTTGGGGTGCTACACACAGATGATTATAAATGGGCTAAATTAATATGTGAGAATTAGCCTAGAAGAGAATGGGCCAGGCAGTGTTTAAAAGAATACAGTGTCTGTGTAATTATTTTGGGGCATAAGCTAGCCATGTGGGCGGCCGGGGTTCTGGGAACGCAACCCTGCCACCCTTATTACTTCAGTTGGCGCCCCACGTGATGGACTAAACCCACTTAAAAAACCTGAGAAGGCTTAAAAATAAGGGAGAGAGAGTTTAACACAGATTTTTGCTGTTTGTTGGTGGCGTGCTGTAGAGAGATTTCCTGATTCGGCAACAGTAGCAGAAAAAACGCTGTGTCATTTTAAAGCGCGACTTCCTGGGGCTGTGCCGCCATTGCGATCTCTGTCTGGCTCCTGTGGGAGACAGAGCTTTTGAATAGAGCATAAATGGAGTAAAGTGCTACGATTAGTTTGATGGCAACTAGACTCGCTGTGTTCTCCGGTCTGCTCTGCTTGCCAGAGGCAAGCAAGCACCTCATCTAAGAGAGGCTTCCTGACTCAGCTTTAGCTGCAAAGCCTGCAGCTCATTAAGAGGTCCTGCCACGAAATACTTAAAGGGTGTTGACGAAAAGCTGAAAGCATGCTTTTCGGTTTTCAGCCGTAGCAGGAAAAAAGCTGCGCCGTTTAAAAATGCTGGCTTTCTGGGCCATCCTGCCAGGGCAAACTCTGACTGTTTGAGGCAGGAGGGCCGGCTACCGAGAGAGGACTTGAGTGTTGTCTGTTGTAGCTCACTTGCTGGCAGGGACCTTGAAATGCCATACAGTTGTTGCAGTAAACATGGCTACAGCCTGTATATCAGCCATGAGGCTGGAAAGCTAAGGAATGGACTGGATCTAGCTGGCAAAGCCACGCCTTTAATCCTACCCATATTGCTCAGTAATTTAAAGGCTCGTGTGGTCAGAAAAAGAGAGATATACAGTAAAGAGAGATTCAAAGACAAAGAAAATTTCTGAATGGTTTAAAGTGTGTTAAAAATATATGCAGACTAAAAGTTGAAGTTCTTAAAGTAAAAACCAAAAAAAGGAAGAGAGTTGTTGTGTGTAGTAACACACGCCTTTAATCCCAGTGCCTAGAAGGCAGAGACGAACAGATCTCTGTGAGTTCAAGGTGTAGTAGTGTACACCTTTAATCCCGAATGCCTGGGAGGCAGAGACAGGCGGATCTCTGAGAGTTCAAAGACAGCCTGGTCTACAGAGTTACTTCAGGTCAAAGATACAGAGAACCTGTCTCAAAAAGCAAAGAGTTAAAAGTAAAAATAAACAAAATAGAGGTTAAAACAAAGCTGCACAAAGATGGAAAATACACAGAGAATTTTGATACTGTATGCTATTATGCTCTCTTTAAATTATTTAAATGCTGAGGAAGGAGCAACAGATGCTAAAAGATATTTATTTATAAATGCTGCTAAACTAATCCAACATAGATATTATGAATTTGGATCTAAGGATATGATACTTTGGAAAAGAGATTCTTCTTTTGTTTTCACAGAGGGTCAGACCTTGTGGATTGCATTTATCCCGATTTGGTATGATGGACCACGCCCTCCTGAAGGGTTGCAGTGAACATCTTCAGAAAATTGCTTTGCTCAACTGCCAACTGAGCACACAGGTTATACCATGAAAGACCTAATTAACGACGCCCCCATTCAGCAGGAAGCAGTTTGGAGAGAAATAACTGCGCCCATATTCCCAAAAAATGTTTATAAATGTTCTTTTACATTTAAAGGGGGATATGATATAGGTATGAATAATGTGCATTAGAATAGATTTTGCTAGAGATTTACGGTCAATTCTGTTATATGTATATGTATTTCTGATATTGATTAAGGTATTGTGATTGTGTAGTTCATTTAAAAATTTAATGTATAATTAAGAAATATAGGTTGTTAATGGATAATCATTGATAATAGTAAAGCTTGTAGTCATGTTAGTTAGATTTTCTAGATATATAGAGATATATTTTAGATAGACATTCTTCATGTCTTTCAAAGATTACAGAATAGGACATTTAATGTTTTAATAACTTAGGACTTTTCATGACAATGAGACACTCTGCTCCTGGCAGCACCAATCTACTTCAAGAGGAAGATGGGCATCGAAGAGGCTCGTTATGGAGTTTGATAGCCATTTGGGCAAGAAACTGCTCTTGCCTGGACTATTGCATAAACTGGACACAGAGAACCTGCAGAGAGAGGACTACTGAACTTGCCTAAGGTGAGATGATCTTTCGGGGTTCCTGATTCATTTTGAAAGAGTCTGCGAGACATTCTGCAGGACACAACAGATAGTGACTGAACTGACTTTGAATTTTCCTGCTTTATGGAAATGTCTGCTGGATACCATGGGCCTGAAGGCTGAAGATGGATGCCCCAACGGTACAAAAGAACTTTGGGTGACTGTCCAGGCAGCGAGATGTCTCTGTCATTTCTAGAGTTTGAAGTTTCTTAGTTCTTGTTTACTTAGGTAATATTATATCTTTCTGGAGTTTTTGATGGAGTTAAGAATAGTTAGTTATAGTTTTCCTTAGTTATGATAAAGATTATTGTAACTTTTACTTGATAACTGTTTTGTTATATGTAATTTTGCTATGTTAAAGCCTTTTTTTTGTTTAAACCGAAAAAGGGGAAATGATGGAGGAAGGTCATTGGCTAATAAAGGCACTGCCCTGGCCCATTTTATTGGTTAGAGGATAGGTGGGAGGAGTAAACAGAACAAAATGCTGGGAGGAAGAGGAAGTGAGCTCAGAGACTCCACAGCGCTTTCGGGAGCAGACGCCTCAGAGAGAGATGCCATGCCCCGCTCCCGGGATGAAGCTCCGACCCAGGATGGACTAGGCTAGAATCTCCCTGGTAAGCGCACCTTGGGGTGCTACACACAGATGATTATAAATGGGCTAAATTAATATGTGAGAATTAGCCTAGAAGAGAATGGGCCAGGCAGTGTTTAAAAGAATACAGTGTCTGTGTAATTATTTTGGGGCATAAGCTAGCCATGTGGGCGGCCGGGGTTCTGGGAACGCAACCCTGCCACCCTTATTACTTCAGTCTTCCTGGCTATGTTTCTCTGTTAGTACATCCATGAACCTGATAACGGTTGTTCTGACGTACGATGTTAATTCACCTCCACTTTTGAAAGCTGCTGAGCTCCCTAAAGCTACAGACAACATTAATGCTACAAGCATTAATCAGACCACAAGCAAGCAGCAAGTGAACACTGAGGCCCAGAGCTTTGGTGAGATTTAAAAAAAAAAAAAAACAAAAAAAAAAAAACAAAAACATTCTTCCATGTCGCAGAGGAAGAAAGGAGCACTAGGTAAATCAGAAAAGCATCTCCCCGGGGACCAGGTCAAGCCCATCTTCAGTCTCCTGGGTGTAAGGGGATGAGGCTGAAGGCTGGCCATTCAATGCTGATGTATGGTTCACTGAGAGGGCAGGCTGGAGAAAGGGCTGCATAGTGACCTTCACGTCTTACTGTGCAGGAGGCAGTGCTGTGCTTGTCATTAAAATAGATGGTCAGGTCACAGTTAGGGAGAAATGGCAAGGGCCACAGAGTTAGAGAGTGACAGGAAGCAGGAAAGACCACCGTCATGTCCCAAATAAACAAGCAAATAGTTAAAAATTTTCTTTGCTATACTATTGAAGTTTCCTGTTTTCGACACCGTCATTCAGCATTATATAAATCTAGTTTACAGTTCTATAAAACTATACTTTAGAATGATATAATTTAGAGAAATTATTCCTAAGTAAGATGAGAAATCTAATATGAAAGATTAAGAAAAACTTGGCAATGATGAGCCTTTGTTGTAATTAAGTCACAAACATCTGCTGGAAGTGGGTGAACGGCTGCTAAACCTGAGGTTTGGAAACGT